TCCCCGGCGGGGAATTGAACCCCGGTCTCCCGCGTGACAGGCGGGGATACTCACCACTATACTACCGTGGAGTTATTTACCTACATTCTATTGCGCAACGATTTGCTCGTTTCTTGATTAAGTATTAACTTTAAAAGAGTTTTTTTTAAAAAAGGATATCTCCTTTCCCTTGATAACAGAGCAATTCTGATTAGCTTCTTGTTAGATCAACCAAAATGTCGGTTGTTTCATTGTTATTTATCTCAAGGGATTTTGAGTCACATTGCACGCATTCGATTCAGTGCTCTTACGTCTGATTTATACAAAACCACAGGTAGCCCAAATAAAATGTTTTTATTGTTTTCTTCTTTTATTCATTTTCCAACAATATTTATACAGAGCTGCCCAGTTCAGCAAAGATGGTTTGAATGGGGCTCTGTTTGAAATAAACTTACAGACCGAAAAAATATTACAGAACGTAGCAAATCTSTATGGCGCGTATTACATGCGTGTCAGTCGCGCGAGTTGCAGAAATYATTTAGTAAATAAGGTGGAGCCAGGTTATGTATACACTTCAACAYCAACATGCATTTCAGGTAGTCCCGGCGGGACTGGAGTGAAGGCAAACTAAATATCCGCGCAACCTGTAGTTGAGAGACTTTGTATCCTTCAATAATACTGGCGGCGCGTCTATGTAGGTTATCCAATTAATCACGGTCTTGCCACAGGAGGCTTATATAGTAGCACAATAGTCAAATATTAGAAGTATCATGGCGTTGTAAAGGGTTATGCACGACTCCCGCGGTAGCCGGCGTTTTCAAATTGTTCCACTCTGGAGACYGTATTTGAAAAAAATGGTTTTCGGTGAAGACTTGTTCCGGATCCGCCCGGACTACTGTGGACGGTAGGYCAACCGAATAAATAAAAATTCGGATTCAAATTTATTCGGCATAGTGYGGACGGGGCTTAAGACATTCTATTATATGCTTTAGATCTTCAGATAGCATGAAGTGTTTATCAGTGACGGAGCTACTGCTAACGTGTAGAAAGTTTATCATCCACATATGAATGAATTTTGCAATACGATACCACTCATGGTAAATCATTGATATAAATTATAAATAACAAGGGGCCAATTGAGGACCCTTGAGGGAAACCAAAACAGATGGATTGGGGGTCGGAAATTGACCCAATCACTACAACACTTTGCGATCTATGTGTTCTTTTATGTACTTTTATAAACCAGTTGCATCGTTTTGCAGATAGATTCAACCTGTGCTTCATGTTCAATCTATTTTCTAAATCTCTTGAACAACGGGTGCCTAGCAAGATTGGACGATGATCTGGAAGATGATCGGTACTCGAGATACATCATGTCATCAGCACCTGACATGGACGCCATGGAACCAGCCCGACGAATCACTCCAGATGACTGAAATAAACGAAGAAACAAAACAAATACATTAATTAATGATGATGATGATGACAATGATGATATGATGACAATAATGACGATGATGATGACAATGATGWTGCTGATGCTGATGACAATGACGAAGATGACGATGATGCCGATGACGACCACAAAGATGATAATGATGACTTTTTTTTTACAGAAGTTTTTGTTTTAGTTTTGTGTGTCTTTTTCTTAGGCTCAGGTCAAACTACGAAGTTCACCGAACCTAATTGAAACAATAGACAACAAGGTTGTCTTCTTTGCTGTCATTAGGTTCGGCTCATGTGAAGTTCGACGTATGATATGAGCCTTACCTTTTGATTCGGGTCTCCAGCATTTTTTTCTTCTTCAGCATCTGCATCACTAGCCGCCAACACCTAAAATCGAATCAACCACATCAATATACGAGAAACCAGATTCCGAATGGGAATTAATTCGTGTCCAATGGGATTGTGGGACTGCGAAGAGGGAAATTTGCATCTCAGCTAGAATTCCTTTTGGCAAACATTTGTTTACCAGAATTTATGAAGATTTTATAAACGGGTGTTTATCCTACGATATATACGGTACAGTATTTGGTATTAATTACTAAAWTAAAAAACGAAATTTGTTATTTGGTGGCTATTGTTTCTTTTCTAAGTTTTAAATAATATGATTTTTCGCATTTTTCATTCGTATGGAAAGACGACGTAGTAGTTCTATAAAGATTTGTCTTGCTCTCTTTTCATGACAGGATKTGTTGTGTAAAGTTCTAATTGATGGTTGCAAGCATTCCCAAGAGAGTCRAAAGACAAAAACATGGCAGCCATTGTGGTGCCGCTAACAATGGATGCTAATGAGAAATCTTTGGTTAAATGGCACCAACATGGCCGCGATGACGTAACGTGCAATCGAAGAATAGACCATTTCAAAGATCCCGCGGCTCAACCTCAGCCTCGTCAGCGTGTAATATATTCTTTAGAAATTGTCTACAACCTGTGAAATTTTTAAGTGTTTCAATTGTTCGTTGATGTGTAAATTCCTTTCATTACTGCGGACTGCAGTCAAATTCTAAAGAATAATTACACGCTAACCAGGCTGAGGTTGAGTAACGGGATCCGTGAAATGGTCTATTGTTTCAGGTGGAAGTTAAATAATTGAACAGTTGGACCCTGAAATACGTCACAACTTAAAAGCTTTATAAAGTCTTTGCAGCATTACGTGACTGATGGCAGCCATGACAGGAGGCMGGAACAATAACCTTTCCCCCCCAGGGAAACGGAATTCTTTCTCATGTAAATCAGATTAGACCAGATTCAATWGTTCCTGCCTCCCGTCWTGGCTGTCATCACGTGATACTGCAAATCCTCTATTGGATTGTGGTTCTCAGTCTCCCTCGGCCATATTCATTTTCACCACAGGAAGCCTTGGCTTACCTTTTGAAGTAATTCTTGCTGTTCTCGTTTCGTAGAAAGATTAAGGTTTTCCTGTAGACAAAATTCAAACATTCAAAGTCATGGAGCACCTAGTCATGACTCTCGATTCTCGATTTTGTGTAGAATATTCACGTGTTCCCGTGGAGGTCCGTGGCGTTTCAAAGAGTTTGACAGTTGTTCTAGTTGTGCATTCATTATCCTATCTCCTCCACAGCCGTTTTTAGTGTCGCGTTTTTAGTGCTACGTTGCGTGACAAATAGCGGCTGTGACTAAGTTGATGAACATTTCGCACGAGACAGGAAGTGACGTCRAATGGAACTTAGTAATGGAGAATGGGAAAGACATGTAATATCAAGTTGCCCAAAGCCATCCTTCCAACTGCTTGTCCTCCACCTTCTTTAAAATTGTGCAAAGAATTTTTACCCTATATGCTAACGTTTAGATAGTTATCTTACCTCGTCCATACCAGCCAGACTAGTGATGACCTGTAAGAAAAAGCAAAAAACGTCTGAGAAATGACTTGAAAGACAGCTAAATATTTTTTGCGAGAAGCGATGCCGCTCTCTAAGTTGAGGATGGACTTGATAAAATACTGTTAATGTAAGGACACATCAAGTACAACCTCCACTTGGAACCATAGTTTTATAGTCACTCAAGCGACTTCTCGATTTCGATTGGGCGAAATGTTTTTCCATTGAATTTCAGACCACATGTCGTTCCCCTAAGAATAAGATTCTTTGTTTGAGTTGTATCCATATTCATGTTCATGTGTCTTCTCATGTGYAACCRTTAAACAAAGAAATGACACTCTAGAGAATGACGCRTGGTCTGGAATGGCACAACATTGCGCCCAAGCTAAAAAGGTCGATAACAACTGTCATTGTGTCTAGGATACCCGGGGACGTGGTTAGATGGAACCCGACCCCTAGGAGCCAAATGATTTTTTTCACTTTACGAAAACACGAACAATGAGAAAACATCGAAGTACGACCCAGTCCCCTTCTGTGCATGCGCGAGTTATCGCTCCAAGCACAGCTTTCGAAATCGAAGTATTGTAATCGGTTCTATTTCGACTGACTACCGTAAAACTGGGATACATTACGGACGTCAGTACCTTGAAACTATATCCCTGGTTTACCAGGAACCTTTGACGTTTGCTTGAATAATACATCTCTTCGGTATCCTAAAACAAATCCACAGTTTGGTTAGTTGGTTCGCTGAAAATGATGTCCTTCAATCTTGGTGTTCAAAGTACATCCAGTAAGTCGACTAAAAGCATCACGTCAAGCGGTGCAGGTGGCGTCATGGCCGCCATGTTGGTTGACTTCAAGATATTTGGTGTTGGGAGAACCTACATAGCACGCAGTTGATGTAATATATTCAGAAAACCTATTGTATTCTATGGACCTTTATCACACGGCGGCCATGTTTATTCTCATGACAAATAAAAACCTTTGTTTCCCCAGCATAAATTAATTCTCAAGCGCTTGAATTTGAGGCTACGCACGGTGGAATCTATTGTTCAATCCAACATGGCTGCCGCGTGAATAAGGCCCATTGTCGTTCTATCTATTATAGAGCTTTTTCACTCACGTGAGAAGGCAGCCATAAACAATAGAAACTTTCTGCACAGTATTTGCATAAAAATAGAGTTCAATTCCCGGAGGATAGAAAATGTATCGTTTTGGTACCCCATAATGGCCGCTGTGACGTCACGTAAAAAAGTGTGATTCATTGTATTTTTATGAACACATTACATTAACTGCTTGCTACGTAGGCTCTCCCATTTGGTGTTGGTTTGTTTTGTTATGTCAAGCAGCCCATGGCAGCCACGTCTTCAGTTTCTGTAGTGCACTCGTCTCTCTCCTTTGGAGTGATTTATGCCGTGTCCTGACTTAGTAAGATCAACTCAGAAGTTGTTTGGCTTCGACACAATTTGAGAGGGTTTCTCCTTTTATTCTCAACTGAATGGGAATGAATGAATAAATACCGCCTAGAGTTATTTACCGTTGATACTAAGGTATAAAAGAATGCGTTGTACTCTTCTGCAGCCATATCTAAAATAAACAAAACAGTAAGTTTTAATGTTAGACATAAAACAATTCATCATCATCATCATCATTATTAATATTATCATTATCATTATTATTATCATTATTATTATTCAAATCATTCTCACCTTTTTTAGCACGCAAAATACGCCCCAATCGTTGAGCTTCCTAAACACATAACACGAAACACGTTTTACTCATCGATACTCCTACTCCTCCTGGACATGATGTATGCTTTTAATTATTCTAACTCAGCACATATATGTCTGATATAAATTATTATTATATAGATATCGATGAAATACCAGGTTTTCTCTAGTGTCGAAAACTTGATATCTTTCACCAGTAGAAGTTACCATATATTTCACACGTGAAGATATCGCGGTTGAATCGGCTTGCTATTTTAATAAAGAATTTTTGAGCTTTTGTTTTATTTAAGTTTCATCGATATCTATATAATAAACAGAACATTACATGGCCGCTTGGAGTTACGAATTTTATCTTCTCGTGTTCAATTTAGATATCTCAATCGTTCGCTGCGCTTACTCGTGAGATATCAATTGAACACTCGAAGATAAAATTCGTATCTCCGCGCGCCCATGTAATATCCTCTATATATTCTAAGACCATGTAAAAATGATATCGTGTAGAGAATACACACCTGTCTTCTTGATCCCCCATGGGAAGAAACCTGTGGAGACAGAATACAGATCAGAATAGGACACAAATGAATGGGATGGGATATATGGGATGTGATGGGATGTGATGGGACGGGATGAGATGGGAAGGGATAGAATGGGATGGGATATATGGGATGTGATGGGATGTGATGGGACGGGATGAGATGGGAAGGGATAGAATGGGATGGGATATATGGGATGTGATGGGATGTGATGGAATAGGATGTGATGGGATGGAATGGGATGTGATGTGATGGGATGTGTTGTGATGAGATGGGATGGTATGAGATGGGATGGGATGGGATGATGGGATGGAATGGAATGGCATGGGATGACACAGCAAAGAATAATGGAGGCTTATCCAGACGTTTTTTTGGGTATTTGACCAAACTCATCCCATTAGTTTACTAAATTTGATCATTTTTCGGGGCAGGTATGGGGTACATGGTAACTCCACAGTTATAGCCGTGATACCCTGTATTTTGTCATTTATGCATGTCTCCCCTCATTGTCTCTAAATAGGACTTGGTTTTAATTCAAAAATAATAAAAGTTGTTAAATGAATCCCTTCTTAGATGTATTCTCAAGAATAGACTTCTTTCCCTTGAGCGTAATGTTTTCCCATTCCAGACCAAGTGCAATTCCCTAGAGTATCATTTCTTTGTTTAATGGATGTGCACCAGAAGACACACGAATATGGATACAACTCAAACAAAGAATCTTATTCTCAAGAGAATGACACATGCTTTGAAATGGGACATTACGACCAAGGTAAAAAGGAGGAATGAAATCTCAATCGTTGGCTCGTAGTTTTCTTCGTTCCTCCAGGAGTTAGAAAAATACAATTGCAACTCGTGGAATATCAGCCTTAGCCCGCCGTAACATTCCATTTTGAGTTCTCTGTTGCTCAGGGTTAGCCTCGATTTTGTGCAGAATATTCACGTGTTCCAGTCAAGGTCCGTGGAATTTCAAAGTGCTTGTATTGTTGAAATTGTGCATTCTTTACTTTAACGTTGGTATTTGTGAATATTTAGACACTGATACAAGGCTAACCCTGAGTAAATGAGTCAAGGAACGCAGCGGTAATTTGGAACTCTAAAATGTTCTATTCCTGAGAAAATATCTAATAAGTGGTACGTATCTTGTGTGTTTACCTGAATTAGCACGTTGGCTTCTGGAAGATCAAACGAGTTATCTCCGACCTAAGAAAAACAATTGCCAGTAGAGTAAGAACACAGGTTGCATATCCAAGCATACCATACCATCCACGTTTCTCAGCCTTCGTGCTCTATAACCTGCCTTCACTGCAGAAGTCTCCTTTCTCTCTTTTCCTATACTGGGCTTCCTGTGTTAGCTGAGCGTTGACCGAGTGGGACTAGTAGCCAAGAAAAGCGCTCTTTTTTTCCCCTACCCTATTCGCCGTAGTCTTCCCCGTTTTCACCACAGGAAACCTATTTTCATCGAATCGCCTACCTATAGCCTTGGTGTGGCTCACCTTGGATATAAATATGGTATTGACTAAAGGATTATGTTGGAAGTTTTGTAGAATGTTGATTCTTTCGGCTTGCGAGGTGGGTCCATAAATAAAGGGTCTGTAAATTAAACAGATAGAAAATTGTCAACACGTGGCAACTACGAATCTTATACTTAAATAAAGAAATAATTGATAGAGATTATCACATTGATATCGTTTTTTTCCGACGGTTTTTCGTATCATATCGCGAACGAGCGAGTACTCGAGCGAGCGGTAGCCGTTATTTCGGATACGAATGACGAAACGGATAATGCACCTGCGTGCTGCGCGCTTTGGTAATGCTCGACGCTTTTAACCAATCAGAACGCGAGTTTTATAATAGTCTTTAATAACACACAACAGTCTCTTGTACATGAATATTACTCAAGTAACGAATCTTATTCTTAAAAGGGATTCTACAATAAAGAAAGCATTACACCCAAAGTAAAATGGATCCATTGTTTCTTGTTATTGTTAACGTTGACTTACTTGCCGAGCTTTACAGCGTAGTTCTTCAGAGCAAACACGTTGTCTGAAAACACTATCACCTTGTCGTTACGCCTGCACGAAAAAAAAACACGTTAGAAAAGATCAATATGATATTCATATACACATCGTGTGATTGAGAACAGACACTTTAATAGGCCTTTTGCAACAAACAGTCACGTGCTGATATATGACTTTGATAACGAATCAATTCAGCTCAAGGTCCCTTGGGGAAGGCTCTGCTGGATGGCAAACAAACTTTAAACTGCTTCGTATCTTGAAATCGAAAGTATCTCATAAGGGAAAAAAAGTATTTTTGAAAAGGTTTTGGATACAACATTAGTAATCCAGCAAAGAATCTTTAAATAAAGGAAGTCCACATATTTTTGCCATCCAGTAACAATCACGTGTCAATCTATTGCAAAAGGCCTATTAACAACGAGCCAGCTTACCGTTCGTGATACCGAATTAGGAATTCACAGCTTCGGAACTTATTTGGGTTCATGACATAAAGCAGCTTAAAAGAAAATAAATTGCAGAAATGAATAAATAAAATGAAACGAAACAAAGGGTGAAAGGAAAAAAACTAAGGCTGATATCGCGACAATGCGACAATGCTCACTAATTGTGCCCTGGATAGGTCCTATATACACTTCATCTGGATAAGAGTAAGACATACCTTTCGTTTTCTTGTTCTAATGGCCAGATATTCACTGTAAAACTCTGGAGTCATTGGACACCACACCTAAAAACAAGCAATTTAAGAATCGATAAGAGTGAAAAGTTTGGTTTTGAAAGTTTTGATTGTGAGGTATGATCGTCAGGGTGAGTTTAGTATTGAAAATAAGACTGTTGGTGGTGGTGACTGACGTTTCGAAAACCTGTTCGCACGTCATCTTCAGAATTCAGTTATTATTATTATTATTATTATTANTTATTATTATTATTATTATTATTATTACTATTATTATTATTATTACTATTATTATTATTATTACTATTATTATTATTATTACTATTATTATTAAGCAAAGCGAAGCCATTTCAATGTTACAGCATGTTTTACCGCGTACGTTCTGTAAGTCAGTACCGTATATATCCCACTCATACGACAACCATTTTTATGGTAAGCCATTTCAATTTTACGGCATGTCGCACCGTGTACGTGCTGTAAGTCAGTACCGTACGTTTTCCACTCATACGATAACCGCTCTACGACATGTCGCACCGTGTACGTGCTGTAAGTCAGTACCGTACGTTTTCCACTCATACGATAACCGCTCTACAACATGTCGCACCGTGTACGTGCTGTAAGTCAGTACCNCGTGTACGTGCTGTAAGTCAGTACCGTACGTTTTCCACTCATACGATAACCGCTCTACAACATGTCGCACCGTGTACGTGCTGTAAGTCAGTACCATACATTTCCCACTCATACGATAACCGCTCTATTTCATGTTGCCCTCACATCCAAGATAATTTAAAATGTCCATTTTGAACTCTACTCACCTCAGCACACTGGACTCTAGCAATAAACCCATTGTTTTGTAGCTCCATCCAGTTTGCTTCGTACAACTTTGGTCCGATCAAGAAATTCAAGTCCTATTGAGATTGCGATATGAAAACAAGTATGAAAACAAGAAACCTCACATTTTCATTGGACGAGAGCGTGTTACGTGGCGGAAAAGCTTTCTATTGCCAGCGAGAATATGCCGCTACGGCGGCCATCTTGGATTTCCATGCATTATGGGGCGTCCAGGGGGCAAATAAAGCTTTGTCTCTAAATCTCAATACCTGCTCCAAACAGTGGTCAAACACTGACCACCATGTGCTGTTCAGATGAATGTCAAAAATCCAGGAGTTATCCAGGACCAGTAAAAACCTTATTATTTCCTTCATTCGATTGCCCACCTCCACATCTACCCTTCCACCAAATCTTTCTCGAGAAGCTTGCGGAGATTCCCGTTTCCCAGGGTCGGTTGTTCCCTAACTATCTATGAAAGCCCTAGTCGCAGTTTCCTTGGGTGTGCATGATAGAGAAAGAGTCCCGAACATACAAATAAAAATGCTCTATTAGGTCTGTACCTGAATCTTATCGTCTTCTCTCACTAAAGTCGCCGTGAGACCAAGTTTGCAGTGGGCTTGAACGACTACGTTAGAGGAGAAAATAAGCTGTTTTAACAAAAAAAGCTGTCTATATTGAGATCGAAAACTTATAAGGGAATATCAAGGGTGGTGAAGCAGTAGTGCACTCGCCTCCCACTTCTGGGGTCTAAGGTTCGATTCCTGGACTCTGCATCACATGTGAGTACAGCTTAAAGGGTCTTTCTTGATTCGAAAGTTTTTTTCCGGATTTTCCAGTTTTTCCAGTTTTTCCCTCTGTGAGTTAGATGTGCCCTGAATTCCTTCAGTTCACAGGTTGGAGGGAGTTGGGGATTGTCGGAAAACACGATGTTTTCAAGGTACGCCGTCATGGAAACGACTTTGATTGACGTCCACCAAAGCCCGGGTCTCGTGGCTCTTTTTCCAGATAAATGCCTCCCATTCTTCAGTATCTCTCATCTTAACATCTACCAGGGACCCCCAAACGCTAAATGCGAGATTTGCATGCGGAAAATACCACCTTTTCCTGAACTGCAAAGAGACTGCCTGAAAACTTACCTGTTAGAACTCTTCTGAACTGTTTAGCAGGAATGGTATGTACCTCTGAAAAATTACATATCGTTAGTGCCGCCTTACAAATCTTTCTTCGCGATTCACATCACAACCCTCAGGAATTTAGCTCACATTAAGATCCCTCATTGGAGTTTAACTTCTCCAATTCAATTGCTCGGAATAACCGCCTGGAGAACCAGTTTTAGGACTATTTGGGAAGCACCGGCTTTGATCCCCCGACTCGCCATCCGATACGCGAGTACAGATGTTTGTTGATTCTTTCTCGATTTCATCACTGACTTTATTTGAGTTCAAGGATGGGGCTTTTTTGTCGGAAAATTTCCTATCAAATATTAGAACGAGAGACACTCCTCAACCTTAAAAAAATATATACAAAGAAGCTGAGGCTCGAACCATTAAACATATTGCCATATTGCCATACTGCCATACTGCCTAATTCATCCCTAACCCTAAACCTAACAATCCGCTTATCACGCTTTACCAAGAGGGAAAACGCTGGCCAAACCGCATTTTTAAAATATTTTCAAATGTTCGTCAATTGACAAATATAGTCTCCTACGCAGCCGCTATTAGTGTCGTTGCGTGACGACGCTAATAGCGGCTGCGTAGGAGAATAATTGACACAGTAATAAATATACTATTATTTTGCATTGCAAATTTCTACCATGATCATGCAGTATTCGGTATTGTTACACAAAGAACCTTTTTATTTGTTCTCTCCTAAGCTTTTAGAGTTTTCTCCGGGCACTCTGGTTTTCCTCCCTCCGCAAACTGAATCAGCTCCTAAGAGCCAGTATTTGGAAATAAAGCATAGCTAATAACTGGGATTGGTTTCCCTGTAAAGATGACGAACCGACTTACCATCTAGAATCATTAAACCCCATTCTTGTGCTTGCAGAAAACTCATCACCTTGAAGAAGAACGCGAATCACATTAACCTCATCTACACTATACAATTGAGGTATTAACATTAAGCAATTAGATAACAAAATGACAGAACAAAACTGGAAACAACGAAGGCAGATGTTACAGATGTAAGCTAATTGACTACTTCGACGATACGGCGGCCATCTTGCCAAGACGACGGAAAATATAGAGTTTCATGTGTTTGTCATTCTTCTATGGGTAAAGGTGATTGGTGTGCCGTCTTGATTCATCTTTTGTTGTATTCTCTTGTGAAGAGCTGTTAATAGACTGTAATTAACAAAGCTTTATTTGTCCCCTGGACGCCACATAATGCCTTGCAATCCAAGATGGCCGCCGTATCGTCGAAGTAGAGCATTGGCTCACCTTTGCTTGTATTGGGACTCGCTTAATGACTTCAAAGCATAAACGGGAAAAAAAAGAAGAAATTCTATGTACCTGTTCTGCTTCCCACGATCTTTTTCCAGTATGAGACACCATTGAATACGTAGAAATAGCTATCCCACAATCTGTTATAAGAGCAGCATTTTAATATATACTGGCAGACTCACAGAGAAAAATGTTTCAAGCTATTAAACAAAAGCATTTCTTCCCAAATGTTATAAGTTATATAAGTTTTGAGTCATCAGTACGGCCGGGTTTATCTATTTTCTTCCAAAGTCGTCAATAAAAATTTGAAACTCGAACAATTTTGTATACTTGGAGAAAACAAACATTTATTTTCTCACTCAAACTTTTTTCTCTATTGACATAGAGACCTAGAGCCGATGAAAGTACACAGACATGCGTGTTCTGAAGCGAATTAGTATAAGCAATGTAAAAAAAGTCACAAAGGACAGAGGAGTAAAAGCGAACGCGCGCGCTTCTTGGCGCGAAAGATCACGCCAAATCCACAGGGACCCCATCAATGTAAGCTATCAAGAAACACTGCATGATGTTTACCTTTTGGTTTGTCTTTAGCATCAGATGTGAAACAACATATGATTCGACTATCAACAGTGGACCAAAGCTTGAACTGCAAATATGATTATTACCATTCATTAAGATGACATCAATGCAGTCCTAATCACTGAGCTAAAGTGAAGGGTAAGTGAAGATTCGGGAAGCACCGCCTCTCACAGCTGGGCCCGAGTTCGAGTCCTGCCGATCTCGATGTCGTATGTGAGTAGAGTTGTTTGTTGGTTCTCTCCTGTGCTTCGCGGGTTTTTCTCCGGGTTCTCCGGTTTTCCTCCCTCCTCAAAAATCAACTTCTAAATTCTAATTCGATCTTTGGGCTTTCACCTAGTTTGGAGCCTAGCTCTGTTGTGATTGTCCCACGCTGTGATACGACAGCGAAAAGCTTTGTAGATTTTTTTTGTAGATTCATGAACATACCTGACTACGCCATTGCTCAACAGCGACACCTAAGATAAAAAACGAACCAAGTTTAATAACGAAAGATAAGAATGAGGAGCAGTAGAGCGAGAGCTTGCAAACCATCAATAACTTATTAAGTGACCTTCCTCTTGTCGAACGAATAAACACCATTGATTATAGATCTTGTGAACTTACAAAGTAGTTAAATGATCCAAAGGAATGATAACGATAATATACAGTCCTTTGACTAAACGTTGTCGTTTGATCGGCTTCATCCCTACGCGCCTAGACCAAAAAGGATCATGGGGATAATTAATTCACAGTTACTAGCTGCCGCATAAGTTATCTAACACGTCTTGAGCTCGCTGTTTTCGATCACATTTAATTTGCTAAAACCATGCCTCGAGCATATACGGCGAAGATTTAACGCTGGCGAGCAGTTTGGACGATGCAAGTTCTGGGTAATTTACCCGTTATCCTTTTCGGTCTAGGCGCGTAGGAATGATCCGATCAACGACAACGTTTAGTCAAAGGACTGTAAATATAAGATGTATTGTAGCAATACAAACCGGACCAGCTTTTGGCAGGCATACCTGACGTGCAGAGGATGAGACATGGTTTCCTCACAGTACATGCAGCAGTCACACCAACTAGAGTTTTACCAGCACCTGTCAGCCATCACAAAACATAGATTCGAGGAGAATGAATATTTTATATCAAGAGATTGCTGTTGTATTATTTTCTTTATCAATAGAGTGCATATCATGTATCTGTGAAAAACTTCGTAAAATAATTGCACAAATTTGCACAAATTAGTAAGTTCAGTAGACCTACAAAACTTTGCACTAATTTGTACAATTTTGTTAGTTAACTTTTTCACTGATATATGGTATGCACTCTAAGATTTCTATTAAGTCTAAGTTCAGTAGACCTCAGTAGACC